GGCTGGACATCGAATCATGACTCTTGGTTTAACGGTCGATGCTCAACCACTGAGCCACGCCGGCCGGGCTCTCTCTCCTTTTCCCAAGGCGGAGGGACGGAGGGTGTGCGGAGCGAGTTACGCTCGGGCAGGCGCAGGGTTGTTACTGATGGAGCAGGCGCACCGGGCGGGCGTCTGCCCTGAGCAGGGTGTGCTCCTGGGAGTGAGGTCGCTGACAAGTCTGCTGCCGTGGGAGGCCTGGCCTCAGCCCCGGGCCCGGTGGGCGGGGACATGGGACAGGAGCTGCACTGGAGGGCTTTGCTTCTGCCCCCGCGCGGCACCCACCACCTTGGGCAATCAAGTCAGACCAAGGCGGCTCAGCTGCTCTCAGGGGCCGGCGAATTGTCCAGCCGCCCAGCTTCAGGCCCGGGGCCCTGCGCCCTTCCCTCCAGGTGCCGGAGTTTGTCCTTCCCGATCGGCACTCTCCTGGCACCAACGCTTGATCCCAGGGAGCCAGGCCGGCGGGTCCTCGGGACGGAGGGAGGGCGGTCCCTGCGTCTGACTGCGCCCTCCACGGCCGTGCGCCTGCCACGCCTCACCCGTGGCGGCCTGAGCCCGTGGCCAGGCCACCAAGGGGCTGGATTTAAAAAAACAACAACACACATTTTTATTGATTTCAGAGAGAAAGGAGACAGAAACATCAACGATGGGAGAGAATCAGGGATCGGCTGCCTCCTGCACGCCCCACACTGGGGATCAAGCCCGCAGCCTGGGCCTGTGCCCTGACCGGGAATGGTACCGTGACCTCCTGGTTCGCGCTCAGCGGGCTGGCCACCAGGGTTTTTAGGGCCTTTCCTGACACCTGTGGGGTTGGCAGGTATTTCCTGTTTTTGTTGTATCTCGGGAAGACAGGCACGCACAGCTCGGAAGTGATCATTAACCTGCGTCAGAGCGACCTTCACGCAGCAGCTCCCAGCACGAGGTTCATTCTCCTAAACTCCATCATCACCGTTTCTCTGGAGGGAAAGGGTATCGGCTTAAAGATCCGGCTGATGAGGGGGAGGGACCTGCGGCCGGGCTCGGTGCAGTCAGATGTCACCCTAAGCCAGTGGCTCTGACCCTGAAGAGCAGTGGTGCGGAGACAGGGGCCCCACGTGCCCGTGGGCGGCTCCGTGCTCACCGCAGAGCTCCCTGTGGGAGGACACTTTGCCGGCCTCCCGTCCCGGCAGGACCCTCGAGCCGGTGTTGGTGGAGCTGGGTGCACTCCACGACGCCCACTGGTGGTGACTCGGCGTGTTGCTCACGCGCCCTCTGGGCCACCTGGGCAGTGGCCCGTGCAGAGCTGTGGGGCCGTGTCTCATGTTCCGTGTTGGACATCTGTGTTGTCACGGAGCCTGAGGGGCAGATCTGAAGCCTTCCAGCGATGGCAGACACCGAGGGGTGACCCCAGGAGCCACTCCATGTCCTGGTATCTCACGTGTCCGTCAGGTGCGGCCACACTGAGCCCTGGGAGCATGAACGTGCTCTTTAACAATGAATGGATGGAGCAGGGGGAGCGCCCAGGGCTGCCGGAGAGGGCGGGCGGGTGAGTGACGGACCCGGAGGCCCCGAGGGGTGGCTGTTCTCGGGGACACACGGTGAGCACTTAGACCTCGATGGCCTGAGCGCGGCCGGGAGAGCCGGGGCGCAGACGGGCACTCCCGCTATTCTTAGCGCCTTTTATTCTGGGCCTCTGCTTCCTCTGAGCTTCCCCGGGGCATACCTTTCTTCCTCGTGCAGGCCCCGGTCCCACCTCCCCAGGAAGCCCCGGAATGCGGTCCGGAAGCGGCGGCCTTGGCACCGGGGCCGGCTGGGAAACAACCGAGGCGCCCGGGGTCCGGCACTTTCTGGTACGGAGTGCTTGGCCCCTCGCGGGTCCCGGCCGGCCCGCCCGTGCCCACACCGTCCCCGCGGGCGCCTCCCGCCCTGTGGCTGTGCCGTCACCATCACCGCGGGCGTCTCTTGCCCTGTGGCTGTGCCGACACTATTCCCACGGGCGTCTCCCGCCCTGTGGCCGCGGAGAGGTTAGAGACTGACAGCAGCGGTGATGGATGTAGGCAGGAGCTAAGCCCGTGCGAACAGGAGGCAGAAGGGCCAGCAGGTCCCTTTGGGGCGAGTTCACCACTGTCTGAGGCAGTCAGCAGGTCCCCGGGGGCAGAGTGAGGGGTCCGAGGGTGTGTGTCTTTACCGGCCGGCGTGGACTCAGGGGCTGAGCGTCTATAAACCAGGAGGCCAGGGTTTGATTCCTGGGTTGGGCACAAGCCTGGCTCGATCCCCGAGCAGGAGGCAGCCGATCCGTGATTCTCTCATCATGGATGTCTCTATCTCTCCCTCTCCCTTCCTCTTCGAGATCAATCAAAATATATTTAAAAAGAAAAAATACACCAAGAGCCCAGACAGCCGGTGGGATGGACACCAACCTGAACCCATGGGTGCC